AGGGAGAACTCTGCGGGTCCGACGGATGGCGTGTGGGCCAGCGTCCAGGTCCCAGTCCCGAGGTTCACCCGCTTGCGGAGGCTCCTGAGCACCACGTGGGGATGAAAGAGCAGCTCCCACCTCCAGGGTGCGGTGAGAATCAGAGGAGCGGCCAGGTCTTGGGAGTAACGCTAAATGTTAGCTGTTACACCGTTACTATGAAGGTCGGGCTTCTGGAGCGTTGAAGGATGCTGCCAGGTGTCAGGCCTGAGTGACACCCCCCCAAACCCAGCATCACAGGGACGTCACAGACTGAGCTATGGAAGGCAGGTGGGGGTAGGACGAATCTGCTCTGGAGGGCAATTGGGGTGGGTGGTATTTAAGCCAAGGCTGAGCCTGGGCACTGCGTGGGGTGTGAGTACAGAGGCTGGAGGGGTGAGAGAGTGAGGGGACACCTGGAGAAGGGCGCTCAGGGCCCAGAGGGCTCAGCCTATTGGAACTGCTGGGAGTGTGGTGGTCTCAGGGGAGACCAGGAAGGGGCTGCAAAGAGAATGGGAGGTGGTGGTAAGTTACCCCTTTCCAGAAGGGCTTCTGCACTTTACAGATTATAAACCCTTACCCTGCACAGTCACCATTCATCTTCACAGCATGCCTGTGAAGTCAGTGTTATTCCTCTCTATTCTATAGATGCAATTCAGAGAGGTTTAGGCATTTTGCCATGGCCACACAGCACTGAAGTGAAGTGTTCTCAGGCTTTTTGGGGCCACAGTCCCTTTTGAGGACTAAATAATGTATGACCCTTCTAAGAAAATCACACATATGTACACACCAATTTTAAATCTTTCTATGTGTCTTTTTTTCTATAGGTAATACATTCATGTGGTTCTAAAATTAAAAAGACACAAACGGGAATACAGTGAGAATTCTTCCTCCCACCCCATCCCCAGCCACCTGCTTCCTCTCCCTGAGGCAGCCAGTGTCACCAATTTCTTGGGTCTCCATCCACAGACAAGCACAGACAAGCCAATAACGTTTATATATAAATTCTCTTCTCTCCTTTCTCACACCAACGGTAGAACTCAATGTTCATCACTTGCCTATTTCACTGAAAAACACATCGTGAAGACCCAGGATGCTCCTCACAGGGCTCCCCCAACCTTTTTCTGGCTGTGCGGTGTGTGCCATCCATGGATGGGCATCGGGCTGCTTCTAGGCTGGGTGGGGCAAACCGGGCGCCTGTCTCCCGGAGAGCAGAGAGCATGCAGCCTGCAGGCTGAGGTCCCGGGGGCACACACGCGTGTCACAGGCAGTGCCCTAGCTCTCTGAAGCCACCCAAGGGAGGGAGGGAGCCTGGGACTCCCCTTCCCCACCTGTCCTCCTCCCCGTACCCCCTCTTAGGCTCAGCCTGTGGGCCCAGCAGAGAATGCAGGAATCCTGTGTGAGCCTGAGTGAGGAGCCCCCACTCCCCAGAGAGCTGGGGGCCCCTCTCCCCCTGCCAGCAGCCACAGCTCCTGGAGTCTTGTTTGCTGAGAGGCCTAGGACAGAAGGGCAGTGTGGTGGGGGCAGGGGCGGGGGAAAGGGGCTCTCCACACCCCCCCTCCCCCTGTGCTGGGGTGCAGGGATGGCGAGGGCAGACCCTGTGGCACCAAGGCCATTTCTGCTCCTGGTCCCAGTCACCAGAGCTCCCCCATCCCAGAGCCTCCCCTCTCCTCTGCCCACAAGGAGTCTTCGTCCTTTCTGGCCCTTTGTGGCCAGGAAGAGAAGGACGTCCAAGTGGAGAGGGGAGGGAGGCTGTTGGACTCGGGTGGGCAGGGCTGGTCCAGGCCAGCTGAGCTACTCTCCTCTTGGTTTCTGGGGCACGGCGGTCCTGTTCACCTCTCAGCGGCTGTGCCCCCACCATGGTCTGAGGCCCTTGTCTCTTCTCATCCAGGCGTCTTGTCCCAGGCGATCTCGCCCGCTCTGACAGCCTCCGGGCATTCAATACCAAACACACCCGGCTCGGCCGGGCTCTTGTGATTGCACGTGCCGTGGACTTCACCTGGACATTCTCAGCTCCCTAAACCTGGTCCTCTTGTGATGCCCCACATTGCCTGTTCCCGCCACCCGCCACTCAACCCCATCCAACCCACCACCACGCCCTGTGGGCTATTGGTCCAGAATGTGTCCCAAATCTCTTGACTTCTCTCAAGCAACACTGCCACCACCCTGGCAGCTCCAAGCCACCATGGTCACTGGCCAGGGCTCAGCATTACCCCCTCGCTGGTCTCGGCCTTCTGCTGTGTCCCACATATCCCACCCCACTGTGTGTGCCGCACTCAGACACTGGAGGCCTCTGAGGCCACATAAGGGCAGGGGTGCCACTGTGGCCATATTGAGGATGTTTTCTTTCTTAAGCCTGGTGACAGATACCCAGAGTATATTTTATTATTCCTTATTCCTATTTATCCTAAAGATTTCATAAGAAAACTTAAAAGATCAAACCAGGCAAAACCCGACTGCCTGCCCACCTGTTCCCATGGCATAAGGATGAAATTCACAACCCTTCCCACCCTTGACCTCTGTATCCTCATCCTGGGCAGCTCTTCCGCTTGCTCATTTCACTCTGTCTACCTGAACTTGTTGCATAATCTTGACATACCAAACTTTCTGGAATGTTCCATACCTCACCTTCTCCTGATCAACTTGACTACTTACTACTCAGGTCTCAGTTTAAATGTCACTTGCTCACAGAGACCTTCGGGGACCTCCCCAAATGAGAGCCCTTTGTCTCCTGTCATATCACACCCCACTTTTCCTTCAAGTAACTTACAATTTATGACGGCCCATCTGCGCAAACACATGCTATGTGTATAGCGTCTCTCTCCAGCTCATCCGTAAGCTGCATGAGTCCACAGCCTGTGCCTGACCCACAGCAAGGGTACAACAAATAGTACTCGAAAGAGCAATTTTGGAGGAAGAGTACACAGTGGACTAGAAGTCACAATGTGGGAGGTTGAATCCTGTCACCTATGAAAGAGCTGAGGTTGTTCTGGGACAGAGAAATTTTGCGGACCAGTTTTCACTTTCTGATCCCTTGGGGTGGCCTCTTTGGTGGGACTGTCTAGAAAATAGAAAGGGGCTCCTGCCAGGGGTGGGCACACCTGGTTGCAGCAGGGGATGGGGTCCTCCAGCCACCGGCTCCTGCCATTTGGTCATGACCAGAAGGCATTCTGGGAAACTTGCTTTCTAAGCCTGTTCACCTGCTGGCTGAGAGGTTGGGAGGGAGCAGCGAGGTGCAGAGCTGGAGGAATGAGCCTGTTCACCCCACACAGCTCAGAGCCTCTTTGGAGCCCAGAGTCACCTGTGTATCTAGGGTCTGGCTGGACCCAAAATCAGGGACCCAGTTTGTGACTTCAACTTGTCCTGTGACCCAGTTTTTCTTTTCCCAGTAGGACTGACTTGGCAGAACCTGACACATAGTAGGGAGAGTTAAATGTTTACCTACTGGAAGAAATATGCAATGTGACTGTTTCTTCGAGGCAGGAAAACAGAGTGTCCAATGAATGTGCTCTGGCATTGATTGTCTGGGTCCATATCCTGACTTTGCCACTTGTCCAACTTGTGTTTAATGTTGGACAAGTTGCTGAACTTCTCTGTGCCACGATTTTCTTATTTCTAAAGTACGGATAATAATAGTACCTTCCTCTGAGGTCATGGGGAGGATGGCAGAAATTGATGAGTATAAAGTACTCAGAGTAGTGTTTGCACAGAGGAAGTGCACGCTAAGTTCTCTGTGTGGATTTTGTGATATCATATGACCAGCCACTGGGGCAGAGGCTACATGTGCAGTGGATTTCAGGGTATGGAAGGTGTGGGGGTAGAACAGCATTTATTGAGCACCCACTGTGACCTGAGCTTTTCTGACAATTGACAGTCTGCATCTGGCCCTCACGAACGCCCTGAAAAGTAGGCATCACCATGTTCCTTTGCAAACGAAGACGCTGAAGCTCAGGTTGCTCTAGGAGCCTGCTGGAACTAGCAGAATGGAGCTTGCTGCTGGCCCAGTAACGTGAGACTATGAAGTCACTGCTCTTACTCACGGCCCCCTGGTGCCGGTGTCGGAAGACAAACTGGGCAGGGCTGTGTGATGGGTGCGGGGTGGGCTCTGGCTGCTATACCTGAAATTCCGGAGTGGGGATCAGAGGAAGGACTGCTCAGCCTCGGGAGTGATTGGTGCCATTCATCAGTCACTCAGTCTGTTGGGCATGGGAAATACATGACCCCAGTTATTCATTACAGTCTTATGAGGTAAGGCTTATTATTAGGCCTACCTAAAGATGAGGAGTGCAGAGACCAGAGAAGTTAAGTAACTTGCCCAAGGCTACGAAGGCAGAAGTGGTACAGAGAGTCCAGGGTCTAAGCCACTGTGCTGGGAGGGGGAAGATGTGGGCTCTCAAGATCCCTGAAGACCAGCTAGTCAGACCTCCTGGGGTCTGAAGAGCAGGACAGGGGCCTGAAGAGGACAGCGAGTGGCAAGGAACATCTGTCAGCATTTCTTAGGGCTGGAGCCATCCTCAGCTGCCCTTTGCTCTTTGAGGAACACAACTCGGCTGCCTCCGCCTTGAGCGCTTTCCTCCTGCAAAGCCCATGCGTAGAGCTGAAGGGACCCCCACAAACCACGGGGTCCAGGCCTGGGGGCTCAATCAGAGCTGGAGTCAGGGGCAACCGCAGCACTCCTCTTGGGGCTGGGAAACGGGACACTGGTGTTAATTCCTTTCACTTCCTCCAGGGAAATCTTCCCACTCTCTTGAAGCCCTCATGGGTACACCGAGTCAGCCCTCGGCCCCGATGCCCGGCATCGCCCCGCGCCTGCTCCCCCTGGTGGAGGAGTTAGCTTCGCCCTCCGGGCCCAAGCCCTGTAGGCTCAGCCTCAGGAACGCCCACCGGGTCACCTGCCTCATTTCAGGCTGTGCTGGGCACCTTGTTGCATTACACCTTCCCAACTCTCCTGCCAGGGAGCAACTGTGGTCCCCATTTTGCAGATGGCGAGCAGGAGCACCTGGCTGGAAGAGTTAGTGGTGGAACCAGGACCTGAAGCCAGGTTTCCCGACTCCCAGTCCCGTGTTCTTACAGCGCCGTCATCTTCACCTTCATGTTCATCTTCATCGCCACCGCCATCATCATCAGCAGCATATTCTGTTCATTTTACCTGCGATGCCCCATTGAACCATCAGCCGATGTTTCTATCATATAGTCGTTACCAGTTTGGCCTCAGTGGCCCAGTGAGGTGGGTACCTTTATCATCATCTTCATTTTGCACATGAGGGAACTAAGGTCCAGAGAGGACGTTCTAGGAGGCAGCGGTACTGAGGCTGAAAACCAGACCTTGCCACTCCAGACATGAGGGTGGAACCAGCTCGTGGCTGGCAGTGCCACCAGGGAGGGCTTCAGAGGCTGGAGAGGGCTCAGGCTGGGCCTGGCAAGCTGGGGCGAGGCAAGAGGGATTCTGCTTGAATAGGGTGTTGTGGGATGTGAAGGGTCCCCAAGACCAGAGGCCGGGGGCCAGGGTAAGCCGGGAACCTGGAGCCAGCCAGACCTGAGTCGGATCCTGGCTTTGCCATTTCCGCTGTGTGACCCTCTACCTCACCCCTACTTCCCCCACCTCCAGCCTGCGATTCCTCAGCTGGGAAGAGAAGTACTAACCTCCCTTGATGCTGTGGTAGGTGATTAATAAATACTCGTTAAATAAACAGAGGATTACGTTGACACTTCAGTGAGGTATACTGGGAAGTGCTGGCACAGAGCTGGCACTGCCCGAGGGTTCATTGCCCAAGAGCAGCCACAGAGAAGGGCTGAGCTGTGTGACCTTGGGCAAGTCACTTCACCTCCCCTGTTGTCCCACTGCATAACAATGAGATGCACAAAGGCCCTGCCGGCTGGCTGAGAGCTCCAAAGAGGGGCCTCCTGCCTGCCCCAGGTTTCAGGAGCACTCGGTGAGAACCCACCTGGGATGCTGCCACTTCACCAGCTTTTCTTTTCCAAAGGAACTGTAGGAAAGGAGGGGGCATTTTGTGTCATAAAATCAGATCGCAGACTGAAGAGGTGGCAGGAACGGGGTCTTCCTCCTGCCTCCTCTGGATCCCCAGCAGGCAGGGTCCCCAGGCCTCCTTAGCACCCCAGGAAGGGGCAGGATAGCTATGGTGCCAATGAGCTGACAATTCTACTGGTCACCGTCACTATTCCCTCCACCTGCGTGTCCCTGGCTCCTGCTGACCACAGTGCCAAAGCCCTGTTCTTGGCCTCAGTTTCCCTAGTTGTCCAGTGACTAGGGGCACCAGATTTTGGATATTCACAGCACAGTGAAATTAAAAGGAAAAAAACTGTGGTGACTGACACATTGTCAATCCTTCACTTTGCCAAAAAAGGACATTAATTTTTAAAGAGCTGTCAGCATCTCTCATACCCATCATTCCCCAAAAGAAAGAATGTTTGCCATGAAGGGAATCTCAGGATGTACTCCTAGAATAAAGGACAGGGACTGAAGGAGGAATCTGGCCAGGAAGGAGATGAGGTCACCCAGGAAGGCACAGGGACCAGCCCCCAGGGTCTCCAGCATAGGAGACTGTGTCCCTCCATGTGTGTTCATAGGTCCCCTTCGGTGCAAGCGAATTAGACCAGCCCCAGGCCTTCTAGAAAAGTGCCGTTTAATTGTAGGCACAATACGGCGCCTGAACAACCAGGGTGCTCGCTCTCTCTTGCAATAAAACATCTATATTCAGAGGAGGACGGCTCCCGGCAGTCAAGGCCTCTCCCCGGCTTCCGAGTTCTGTGTCCCTTCTCTTCCCCACTTTTCCCGGGAGCCCTGTGCCTTTGCCGGGAAGCCCCGTGTGTCAGACGAGGGAAAGAAAACCTGGCCTTCCCGGTGGTTATCCCGTGAATGTGCAGCGCCAAGCTCTGTCCTTTGCACTTTCTGGGCGGGCTTTGTGCCGATCAGCCCGCGCGCTGGTGGGCAAGCCTCTGGCTCCTGCTGAGGCATCCTGGCGATGGGCAGGCCGGCTTATTTGAGCGGGTCAGTGCAGACAAGGGGCTGGCGCCCAGCAGCCGAGGGTCTTCAGGGGCACAGGCTGCACACAGGCCTCTCCATGGTGGAGGGGACGGGTCTTGAGGGGGCATCTGTGTCTGGGGCAGCTTTCCCAACAGCCCAGGAGAGGCTATTTCTGAGCACGGGCCTGAGCTGGCTTGGGCAGAGCAGTGCAGGACCTGGCCCACTGCAGGGGCTTGCGGAATGTCGGCAAGATCAGGAGGGGAGGCGCAGGGGTGGGAGCAAAGCTGTGGTCCCAGCAGGCTGCAAGTTGGGGGTCAGGGAAAGGCAGGGGTTGGGGCATGTGTTAAAGTTGGGGTTGGGAGTGTGGGGTGGGGATATCTGGAGCCTGAGGGCTGGCCCGGGGGCGTGGGGCTTGACAGAGAATCTGTCACTCCCAGAGTAGTGCTGATGGGGGCCAACAGTCTATAACCATGGAGAGATCATCTCCCTCATCCCTCACCCTAGGGCTCTGCTGGAGAGTGGGTGCCCCATGAAAAGCACTCTCCTGCAATACAAGATGCATCCCCCAGGTCAGCACCAGTCCCTTTGGGCAGAGAACCAGGGTCCCCACCACCCTGTGTTTGTGTTTGACCTTAGGTAGGGCCTCATCCTGGGCCTCCCAACTAGAGCTATAACTGCTTCAGGGCAGGCATTGGAGGTCCACAATACCTGTTGGACAGATGGGTCTCACTGGTTCCATTTTCCAGATGAGGAAACTGAGGCTCAGAGCAGTCAGATAAGTTGTCCAAGTTACATGGTGGATCCGGGACTTCAATCCAGGACTATGCAACCTGGGAGCTCCTTTTAAGGTGGGAAGTGAGAAGAACCCAGAGTTGGGGTGGGGTGGCCACGGGGGAGGGGTTGGGGGGCAGGGCTCACTCTCCCTGAGCTAAGAGAGGGAGTTTCTCCCTGGAAGAGGCAGGCTCTGAAGCTGTTGATCTCTAAATTACAGCGTTGGCGCGCACCGGTTGCTGCAGCAACCGAGTTGTCCTTAACTGGGGAAGTGTATAAACATTGCCACAGATGCACAATTAGATCAGGAAGAAGAATAGAACAGAAAATAGAAACTTCCAGCCTTATATAATTCTGGGCCAAAATGTTACCAGGAACCCAGGCCCAGTCCTGGTCTGCCAGCCACTGGGGCCCTGGGTACCACCAACTCTCTCCTGGGTGCCCAGTGGAAGGGAGGTGGGGACGGAGGATCTGCCTCTGTGGGCCCAGCTGGTGCGCCTGCCACCCGGTGGGGTGAGGAGCCGCCTCCGCTGAAACAGCTGGGGACACTGACAGGCGAATCCTGCCTCTCACCAGCTTCCTCCCACTCCGGGAAGGAAGGCAGGAGGGTGACTGGCTTTAACTGAGCACCTACTGTTTCCCTGGGTCCTGTGAGGCAGGTTTTGATCCCCATTTTACAGATGGAGCAACTGAGGCTCAGAGACATGAAATGAGTTGTCCCAGGTGACATAGCTGGGCAGTGGGTGCGTTTGCCTCCCCCAATCCTGTCTCCACACGGGGAACTCATCACAGCGCCTGAGGGCTGAAGGGTGACCGGCTTGGACCCACTCACTCTCCAACTGTGTGGCCTTGGGCCGGTCACTTCTCTCAGAGCCCCTGTCCCTCACCTGTGGCCTGGAAATAGCGATGCCTACACAGGAACAAAGTGTGAGGCCTCCCTTCCTCCGTCTTAACCACCACCATTGGCATCTTCACCCACCACTGCTCCCAACAAGTTTGGGGGCAGTACGGGAGCTGAGGTGGGACTGTGGGTCCCAGCACTTCCCAGTGGGACATTCTGCAAAGACGGAAATGCCCTGTATCAGCTCTGTCCAGTATGGTAGCCATTGGCCACATGCGGCTACTGAGAACTTGAAATGTGGCCAGTGCAACTGGGCAGCTGAAGTTAAACTTTTATTTAATTTTAAATAAATGTAAAGAGTCACAGGTACCCGTAGCTGCCGTATTGGACAACACAGGAGAATGCCCAGCCCCAGAGGGACCCAGAAGGGCAGAGGCGGAGCGCAGGGGGTGAGTGGGGGCCAGAGCATTCACTGTTCCCTCTGCTGGGGTCACATGGGACAAGGGGGGAGGGGCGGGGCAGTGTGAGGGGCTCGGACTAGGACCTGGATCCCGGTGGCCTCAGCTTCCCATCCTGCAGACCCCAATCCCAGAGCTGGGCCCGCTGTGGAGGCCCAGCTCAGGCCTGGTCACCCCCTCCCTGTCGTCAGAACCATCTTAACTGTCACATCCTGCCCACCAGGGCAGAGGGGGTCTTGGGTCCGAGCCCAGGTCCTTCCCCTCCTGAGCGTCTTGGGGCTGGCATTTGTGCCCACTGAGCCTGGGCTTCTGGGGCTCTTGGAGGGGGCTCCCCTGCATCTCATGTCTGGCTTGTCCTTCCCAGGCCCTGCATCTCCCCAGGTGACCACGCCGGCTTCAGGACATGCACGGGCACAGCCGAAACGGGCAGGCCCACGTGCCCCGGCGGAAACGCCGCAACCGCTTCGTCAAGAAGAACGGCCAGTGCAATGTCTACTTTGCCAATCTGAGCAACAAGTCACAGCGCTACATGGCGGACATCTTCACCACCTGCGTGGACACGCGCTGGCGCTACATGCTCATGATCTTTTCTGCAGCCTTCCTCGTCTCCTGGCTCTTTTTTGGTCTCCTGTTCTGGTGTATCGCCTTCTTCCACGGTGACCTGGAGGCCAGTCCAGCAGTGGCCTCGGCAGGGGCCGCAGTGGGCAGTGGTGGGGCAGCCCCAGCAGCCCCCAAGCCCTGTATCATGCATGTGAACGGCTTCCTGGGCGCCTTCCTGTTCTCAGTGGAGACACAGACAACCATCGGCTACGGGTTCCGGTGCGTGACGGAGGAGTGCCCACTGGCAGTCATCGCCGTGGTGGTCCAGTCCATTGTGGGCTGTGTCATCGACTCCTTCATGATCGGCACCATTATGGCCAAGATGGCCCGGCCCAAGAAGCGGGCGCAGACACTGCTGTTCAGCCACCACGCGGTCATCTCGGTGCGCGACGGCAAACTCTGCCTGATGTGGCGCGTGGGCAATCTGCGCAAGAGCCACATTGTGGAGGCCCATGTGCGGGCCCAGCTCATCAAGCCCTACATGACCCAGGAGGGCGAGTATCTGCCGCTGGACCAGCGGGACCTCAATGTGGGCTACGACATCGGCCTGGACCGCATTTTCCTGGTGTCGCCCATCATCATCGTCCATGAGATTGATGAGGACAGCCCACTCTACGGCATGGGCAAGGAGGAGCTGGAGTCGGAGGACTTCGAGATCGTGGTCATCCTCGAGGGCATGGTGGAGGCCACCGCCATGACCACCCAGGCCCGCAGCTCCTACCTGGCCAGTGAGATCCTGTGGGGCCACCGCTTTGAGCCCGTGGTCTTCGAGGAGAAGAGCCACTACAAGGTGGACTACTCGCGCTTCCACAAGACCTACGAGGTGGCCGGCACGCCCTGCTGCTCTGCCCGCGAGCTGCAGGAGAGCAAGATCACCGTGCTGCCCGCCCCGCCCCCCCCGCCCAGTGCCTTCTGCTACGAGAATGAGCTGGCCCTCATGAGCCAGGAGGAAGAGGAGATGGAGGAGGAGGCAGCCGCTGCCGCCGCTGTGGCTGCGGGCCTGGGCCTGGAGGCGGGCTCCAAGGAGGAGGCGGGCATCATCCGAATGCTGGAGTTTGGCAGCCACCTGGATCTGGAGCGCATGCAAGCCACCCTCCCGCTGGACAACATCTCCTACCGCAGGGAGTCTGCCATCTGACCTCCGGGAGCTGCCCTCCCTGCTTCCCATAGAGCCTCTTTCGGGGTGGGAGGCTAGGACACCCCTCTGCACTCAGGACAGGCCTGACTCTGGCTCCGTGGATCTTCTGGAGGGAGTTGGGGGCTTCAAAAACTGGGGCATCCCTTCCTACTGACTCCAGAGCCCAGGCCTGAGAAGGGCCCAGGATACCCTCAGTCCTACCAGCCCAGGTTCCCCAGCACCCACCCACGGGCAGCTTGGGGACCCCAGGCCCACCACCCTTTTCCCACCTATCCTTCAAGGACATGCCCCTTTGCTCTCAGAACCTTGGGGAAGGCGGCTGGACTGCTAGGGGTGGGGGATGGGCATCATGGGGTTCTGGGGTGGGCAGTGGGTTAGTTTGGGGGGAGGACGGGGGGGTGTTTATTTTGCATGACTTTGGCCTGTTGCTCATGACTTACTTTTGTAAATATCTATAAATGGAGAGCTGGAGGCACCAAATCCACCTTCTGCCATTTGTACCCGCAGGACAAGGAGGTATAGTCCCTCTCTGTGCCCCCTCCCCATCCCAGCCCATCAAGCCTAGCCCCCTCCCCTGCCCAGCTGGCTGGTGCCCAAAGCCAGCCATCTTGGTCCCTGGATGGTGTCCGGTTTGTGTGCAGTGGTGGGACCCCAGGGGGCAGGGCGAGAACCACCCCCCTTGTGGTCCCTCCAGGTCCCCCGAGCACAGCCCAGATGGGCAATGGAGTTTGTAACTATATATTTTTAATAAAGTATATGGTCCATTAGGGGTAGGCTGGTTGAAGATGGAAGCTGGGAAGAAGAGACAGAGAGAGGCCAGCATGATGTGAGTGTGTCTGTGTGTCCCTTTCTGAGCCTTGGAGGGAACTTTTCCACCTGCCGTTCTTCCTGGGAGCCTATGGGAAGGGTCTTGAAGGGGCTTCGGAGGACCTGCGTCTGAGTCAGAGCTTTGCTCCTTCCTCATTGTGTGGCTGTCAGCCAGGCGCCCATTAGCTTCTGGCCTTGGTTTCATCATCTACAGAACCTCTCTTCCAAGATGGAGGGCAGGGGAGTCCTGTGTGGATGTCAACCAATCCTTTATAACTCAGGAGCAAGGGGAAGGGCCCCCCTGGTTTGCACCTTCTGCACACATGTGCACACACCAGTCTGAGCTGATGGGTTGGCTACAGGATGGTCCTGTGGGAAGGGCTCTAGGTGACAGCCAGAAACCCGGTCTAGTTGGATTTGGTCTCTGACTCACTGTGGGACCTTGGGTAAGCCCCGTCCCTTCTCTGGGCTTTGGTTAGCCCGTGCTGTGTACCAAGCGACCCCCAAACTGAGACAGCAGTGGTTTCTACTTTCTTAAGTCTCTGTAGGTGGGCTCGGTGGTTTCTTGCCTGCTTTCTTGGGGCTCACTCCAGTAGCTGTGCTCTGGGCTGTAAGGTCCAGGATGGCCTCACACATGTTGGCCAGTTGGCCCGGCTGTTGGCTGGGGGGCCTTGGTTCCCCTCCAGGGTCCTCTCCTCCTCCAATAGGCTGCACCAAATTCCATCATGATGCCTCAGCGCAGCACCTGCAAGGGCAAAGGCCAAAGCTGCACGTCTCTTGAGCCCGGTCTTAAACTTGTATAACAACACTTCCCCTGCATTCTCCTGATAATTCAGATCACAAGGCTGGCCCAGATTCAAAGGGCAGTAAATTAGACTCCCTCTGGAGAGCATGGTAAAACCGCATTGCAAAGGGTGTACATGCCAGGGTGGAATTATGGCCACACTTGATAGTGTATCATAAAACCTTTGAGTTTGAAGGGTTCTTCAGCTCTAACTCTATTTTACATGCCGACTGTGTACCCAACATTTGGGGTGTAAGGAAGTAGAGGGAACCCTCCTTGTTCCCAGGAATTTTCTGTGCAAAGGTGCCAGCTACCTCAGGAAACACAGGGAACCAGCAGGCAAGCTCACTTACTATGAAGTGCTGTGAGCTGCTTTGTGAATGACCACATTTCACCAGCACTGGCAACATGGCTGCCATTTGGGTACAACATGCCCTTTAGGAGTTTAACAAGGAAACCTACGGCCTCTTTCCTGGAGAAAGAAGCCAGGCTGGGATCCAAGTCCCTCAACAAATGTTGTAACGTCTCTCATTGCATGACATCTTCCACATCCTTTAGTTCACTGAATTCTTACCGAATCCCAGGTACGTAGAACAAGAATTATCTAAATTTATGGATGAGGAAATGGAGGCCCAGAGAACTAAGGGGCCGGCTCCAACTGAAGTGAGGACGGTCGGAGGCTGAGGGGCCTACTTTCCCCTCACTCACATCCTCCCCCAGGCAGGGGTACAGGGGGACAGATTTCCCAGAGTGCCCCTGTGCCCTTTGGAGGCCTCAGAGGGCCTGTGGAGTTCACTCAGCAAGACAAAAGCGCAGCGATATGCTCTCAGGCCCTGGTGCCCTTCTGCCAGGGGAGACCACCCCAGGACCTCGCCTCCCACCCCAGGGGCTCATCAAGATGTCCCTCCATCCAGCCCTGAAGGCGCCCTGACACGCCCCCCCCCAGATCTCATCCTCTCCTGCCTGCTTCCTGTGATACCTTGGTGCCCCATGTAACTAAAGAACGGTAAATAAAGGGGCCTTTGCCCTCAGCACCCTTGGACTCAGAGCATTCCGCCTGGGACCTCTTAGAGGTCGGCACGTGGGGTGACCTCGGAGACACAGGATAGGCAAGGTTTTACAAGGGCCAAAAGGCAAGGACTTTCTGGGGTGCCAGTGCGACACAGGGGAGGGGGCCGCAGGGGTGCCTGAGCCAGAGGTGAGCACACAGCTGCAGGGAGCTCCACAGCCCCCGGGCCCCCTGCAAACCCCTCCTGGCTCGCTGACTCACCTGCCCCTCCAGCTGTTCCCCCCTTTCGCCCTCCCACCTGCCTCCCAGCGCTGGCAGGCAGATCCTCGCATCCCTCTCACTCCACCCTAGGCTCCTGGTGGCGCTGAAATTGGGGAAATCGCTGTATCTGGGGGTGTTGAAACCTTAACTATCACGGAGCTTGAAATCATGGAAATGGGCATGCTGAAGGGGCCTTGGGGGTACCACCAAGCCCCTCACCCCACCCCATCTTTCCTGTGGAGCCAGGAAGGGGAGAGAGCACCCCCTGCCCTGCCCTCCCTCTTCCCCTTCAGTCCCAGCCCCAGAGAGGTGGGTGGCACAGAGAGAAGGAAGGGGATATCAGGTGGCAGAAAGCGGGGAAGAGAGACGGGGGCCGGGAGAGTAAGACGGTGGAGTTTCATCTTTCCTAAAAGCCTCACCTCATCTTGCCTAAAATCTTACCATTCAGGCATAATTTTTTTCTGGGTACTGACTTTTCTTGGTATTGGTGGATTCTATGTATTTTCCATTTTTGATAACTACATAATGTTCATTGAATCATAGTTCTCAGCAGACCTGTTTACAGGTGGGGAATCTGACACTTAAGAGAGGGGAGCAACCTTGAACCCCACTCTCCTGGAGCCCAGCCCAGTGCCCTTCCCACTACTACACCCAGGACCAGCTACATAGTTTGTGGGGTCCACTGCAAAATGAAAACATGTGTCCCTTGTTTAGAAGTTGAGAAAACTGTGCCCTTAAAGGCACTAAGATACAAAGTATTTCCTGTTGTCAGATTATCTCCTCTGATCCTGGGCGTGATACGTTGTCCCACAAGTTCAAGAAAAAATTAAGAATTTCAAGACAGAGACTGCAGTGAATTAAACTAAGCTTGGGTTCCCCTCCGAAGCCAGCCCTCTGATGAATTCTGTTGGCCTAGCCCTTCTCCTCCTGTATCCTGATGAATTTCAACTTTTCTCTGTTACACAATGTGGTGAGCAACATTTTTGTGCGATTTTTTTTTTCCATAGGGCTCTTTGCTCAGACTAGGTACTAACAGAATGTCAGGTTGTGTTCACCACAGACTCTTTCAAAATGCAGTGCCCTGCATTTGCATATTTCCACAAGGACAGTGTATAAACTTGGGTTCCAAGGATTGGAAAGGGGAGATGTGTCAAAACCAAAGTTCCTTCCACAGCTTCTCAAGAGGCGGCCTGTTGTGAGGGTGAGCACAGGTGAGGAGGAATGACTGGCCATGGGCTCAGCAGTGGCACCAGGGCACAGGGCCAAGGGCAGTGGCCTTTATGTGGACATTTGTAGACAGGAAAGATCATGGGTGTGAGAGCCAGAGGGTCCTCGCTTTGAATTCTGCCTCTACCACACACTTGCTATATGATTTGGGTCAAGTTGATTTATTGTCTCTGAACCTGTTTCCTCATCTGTAAATAGGGGCCATTTGTATCCATCTCAGATGCTTGTTTTGTGGATTAAATGAGATCACATATGTAACCAGGCTTGGCATGGTGTTGGGCACATTATTGGACCCAAATAAATATGAGTTGCCTTCCAGAAAGGATTTTGACAGGCTTACCATATAAGATAGACAGTTTGAAAACTGACCTCTGAGCTTCCTGGCAGCCATGTCAAAGAGGAAACCTGATAGCTCCTTAGCTTTCAGTATATGATGACTGGGAGCTAAAGAAAGAGCTTGGATTCTGACTGACTGTGTGATCCTGGGTAATCTTTTCCTTTCTATGAACTTCATTTTCCCCATCTTTAAAGTTAGGAGGTTGGACTTAGTGACCTCCAGGGCCCTGACATGTCTGACAACCTAGGATTCTATCCCTTGTCCTTTAGAAGATGTCAGGAGGTCTTGGGGGAAGGGTGAAGAAGGACAGAACTAGCCCTTGGTAACACTGGGAGGATTCCCAAGTCTGTCTTTGCCCTCTCCTGCAACCCCTGGTAACTTCCAGGCCCACCCTCACTCTATTTACTGACTGCCTCAGATCTGGTATAAAAATCTCTACACAAGTCCCAGTGGGAACTCCCCAACTGAATGTATCTGCCTAGGTCCTGGTCATCAGCAAAAACATCAGCCCCAAGCCATTACTGAGTTCAGAGGGTTTCTGTGCCATGCGTTCATTCCTGCATTCAACAAATATTTGTTGAGCACCTACTATGAGCAAGGAAGACCTTGATCTAGGTGAAGGGATTCAGTGCTGAACCAAATAGGTCAAGATGTAGTTGGGGCCTGGGCCTCCAGCCCTTCGACCCTGGACTGTGGCGCTGGGAAAGAGCCCTGGGCTGGGAGCTGTGAGGCCTCTGGACTGTGTCCTGCCGCCATTGGCAGGTAGGACCATGGGGAGTCCCTGCCACTCCCTGCTCAGGCTTGGGGCAGCAGCCAGGGGTCCCTGGTTTCAGTTGCCACAGCAGCCAACTGCAGCCATAGGTGCCATGGCAATGGGGCAGGTAGTCCTGAGCCCCTGCTAGGGGGAGGCCTT